TACAGGTCAGATCACAAGATACCAGTTCAACTCCAGGTGAAGGTGGTTGAACCGAATTAAAAATGATATCTGGAGCCATAATCTGTTAAGCAATGTTTCCCATAAGAAGTTATTCACATGCTGATCCAGTAGAACATTGGGATTGTGAGTTTCAGAAAAAAGTGTTGTGATGCAAAAATCATCCAGTTGGTATTACGATAATTGTCAGAAGTTGCAAGGTGTATGAAGTGTTTGCTTTTGATAAGTAGGCTTGGTAATCCTTCTCTAATATCTGGTGTCTTTCACACAAATCCCTGCCCTAGTCTCATCCCAATTCAGTAATAAACCAGTCTGGTAGTACTTATCCCAAGAAGGCTTCTGGCTATAAGTCCTATTTCCTACAATGTGTAAGTCAGTGTTCAGGCTATAAGCATCAGTTATAAGTACCTTAAATGTTCTTGGGTATCATTGGACAGATAAGAAATTAAATGGTTAGTCTAGCTGCAGATGGTGATAAAGAGATTTATTTCTGATGGAGCAAGCAATAATCATGTAGCTTTATTTGCCATAGATATTACCTCTAGTGCCCCCTTTCAACTTTCCCTTAATTCCTCTCTAGTTAGAAATAAAGCTGTTCAATTACTAGTGAAAATGCATACTACTGGTCCAACAAAGAATTATCTTTGTTTAGTAGATTAGCCTCTATACCTAATATAGTTAGAAACAAGCTACAGCAAATGTTATTATTTGGAGCAATTCTGATAAGTGTTGGGTATAATTGACAACTGATACATTATAGTATAGTCCTAGATAGTAATGTCGAAAGATATATGTAAATATCATTATTGAATAAATACTCAGCCAGACAATTATCGCTGATGCATTTTTAAAAAAAAAAAAAAAATTACATCACATTATAATAGGCCTCAGGGAAGTAATATTATATGTTTTAAATCGATGAGTCAGAGATTAGCATAGAAGTATTTTGGTACGGTGAAATGATCATCATCTCGTAGTTTTCATTATTATTAAATTTTACAAAATATAATATCTAGGCAAATGCCATGAAAAAATAAACATGATTGATATATTTACATAAGAATTTTTATTTCATTCATGATATTAATAATATATTTACATATTGCTTGAAGCAATTACACAGTAACTATTTCTTGATTATAGTAACTCTGCTGATGAATATCTATAATTGCTAAATCTATAAGAAGACTGAGGATTTATTACCTGATGGGATATAATTCGATTCAATCTGCAACGTGATTGCCTTAGATCTAAAAAAAATATTTCATTATTAATCTATTTTTTAATCTGCATAGTTAATAACAAAATAACTTACCGATATGTCCTCTTCTACAATTGGTGGATGATAGTGAAATTTGAACCTGATTGGCTTTCAACTTGTCAAGTCTAATCTGATTGTTTAGATTATATACATTATTTAAGTCTTGCCAAGGAATCATAGGAACAATTGATTTACAAGTATTTCTTTCTATCCCATCCCTGAGATTATTGTAAACAGGTGAGAAATTCTGCTGATGATAAAAGAATAAACTATATATAAAATAAACAATTCTATGATGAATGTCTTTTGTAACTGGGAAATTGCTATAGAGAAGAAGATGGGAAGAAAATACCATGACTTGTTTTGGATGAAGCGGAATGATAATCTAGAGTTGGGGGAAGCATAGTTCACTTCTCTCGAAATTACCTAATGCAACCAAGCAACATAAGAAATTTGTATCATTGTGCTCATCCCAGTAAAAATCACTTATCATATTAAAATTAATAGTGATTATAGGAAAGATGCTAAATGATTTAGGAGCAAAAGGCCAAGATAAATTTCTTAACTTTATATACATCACTTTGTAATTAGCATGAAGAAACCAGTTTAAATTGCACTAACCTTTTGCCTTATTAATTGTACATTAATAAAATGAAAAGAATCAAATCTATTTATTGTTTTTATACTATCACTTACACTATTGTCTGAACTATTTATGCTAACTCAATATTTCAATAATAATTATGGTTCAACATTTTGGATAGAATAAAAATGGTTATCAATTATATCCATATAAAATGTGCAGTGACAAAAAAGGAATTAACAATATTAACCTTATCAAAAATCTGCTGAAAATTTATGTTGCCTGCCTTCTGTGATACTAATAAATCTGAAATGCACTGTCACAACCAAAAGAATATTCATTAGTTTGCAAGTCCAAAATATTCATACCTTAATTTTATGTTCAAAAAAATATAATTATTCAGATTGAAGAATCTGATCAAGTTCAATATACTATAAATATACATAGATTTCAGAAGTAATTAATTTTTCTGGCTTCTAGCATATGGTAATCATAGTACAGTTGATGATAGGATCCCAAGTATAGCAGGCTTGCATCTGATTGGATAATTTATAAAATATTACATATCTATTTTCTTTATATCAGAATAGCTATTTATAGTCACAAAAGTAAATTCGCAACCACCAAAATGAATTTGCAAAGGTTGTGGCTAAAAAATTTTCAAAGTATACCTTTTATTCTATATACTATTCAAGTAATTTGGTAATTGACTAAATAATTCAGAAGTTAGTTAAGAAGCACTTTTTGATACTTTGTCGTAGACAACATTCCTTTGATAATAAAATGTGATTTTTGAAGAAGATATTTACATACAATATGTAATATAAGAAAACTGGAAAAAGGAAGGTGCAATATTGTGATTTAAAGAATCAAAATAATATAACCTGTAACTATGAACAGTATGGTGCATCTATCGTAACTGACTGGATGAAGATACCAAGCTCCAGTTAACATTTAGATTTAGTTGACAAAGCTTTATACCGAAAATATTATAATACATTGATAGTTAATGCCAAAAAGACAAAAATCAATGTATGTTGTCATCCCAAACATAAAGTTTATTTGTTTACAGCTAGAAATGGTACAGAAGAAAAGAAATTCAAGAAGGCTTCTAAATGACTAGTTAAATTCTTTAACTTACTATCCAGAGCAATAATGTGTCATTATTGTCTGTATGAAACTGATAATAATTCAGAATTTATTAACTTATCTGACTATATACTAACAACTCGAAGAATTCCAGCAAAGAATATAAAACAATTTCAAGATAAATCATATGTATTATGAAGTGATATTATTTATTCCAAATCAGAATTTCAAGAATTAGAATCTTCATATCACAAAGTATATGCAGAACTTGATGAAGCAAAACTCCGTAAATATATAAAATCCTTATCTATAAACATAATTACTTTCTTAAATAATGATATTCTTTAAGATTAATTTCTCTTAGTAAGCAGATCAAATTAATGGCAGGAGTATTGTATACAAGGTAGCATATATACAACGAAAGGCCTGTTCTAAACCCAGAAAAATTTAAGAGCATGTTTGAGAAAGCTAAGTCATTTTTAAAAGGTTTTTTTGATCAATTAGTAGCTGGAACTAACCCGCAAGTCAAAAACAATATGACTAATAAGAAAAATAAAAAAAGATTAGTTTCATTTATTATTTTTTAGTAGGACTTAATAACAAGTTTATTAATGGAGTTAAAGTAGAGATTGGATTTTTACTTAATGCATCAGAAGCATCTTCATCAGTAATAGAAACTATGGCTGGTGCAGGATTAACAGTAAGACGAGAGACTATTGCAAGACAGAAAACTTAATATGTAAAAGTGCATACAATAACAATAGAAAAGTTTATATCAAAAAATGTATGTAAATGAGTATTCTAAATGTTTTATTATTTATAATTAACAAATAATATCTGTATTTATTTAATAGACCAAAAAATTAGTTATGTTCAATGTAGATGATTTCCACAATATTTATAAGTATTGGCACAGTGACATGATCACTACATATGAAGTTTCTCATTTTATTACAATTCTCCTCAAGGCCTTCCCAGAAATAGCATCAATTCCATTTCACAATCCTAATCAAGAAAAGAGTATTCATAATAAAGAGGGTATTGATGCAAAAATTATTTTACAGAATGCTCACTTGTCTTTTTTTTCTCATTTGTGGCTTAATTATATGGGATGAAAGCAAATCTTTGCTAATTTGATACCTGCATCAGAAATACATTATGAAAAAGTTAAAAGACTTTTAATTCACAATTATTATGACAGAATTGAACAATGTAAAACTGACCGAAGTATGAATAATACAAAATTAGTTGATTTGAAAGAAGGATCATTTTATTCAACTTAAGATTACATAAAAGTTCTTAGATATATGATAGATGTTCTGGAAATAAGAACCTATCTAGAAATACAAATATTAGTAGCACCTATGGACTATATATGTGGTATAAATTATTTTGCTGTTAACTCAATTTCCAAAATCCTTAAAAATAATTATATCATGACTCAATTATTTATATGTTTTAATAGTAACTCAAATAATTGTGTCAAATAATTGTATCAATTGTATCAAGGATCTACAAATTTCAATAACATGCATACTATGGACTATTCTGGACAATGTAATGTACGATATGCTATTAATTATCGTATCAATGTTGGAGATCTTTCTGGAATATCAGAACAAATATTGCATATTGTTCCAATGATTAGGCCTTTGCATATATAAAAAAAAAAAAACACGAAACAAACCTCTTCTATATCCGACACATCATCATCGGGTCCAGGCACAACTATGGAATACTGAACTCTCAGCGCGTTAATTGCATTCATTATATGCATTCATTTCCCAAAACTGTGTTTTTGGCAAATTATCAATTTTTTGATAAGCTCTTTCATAAATTGTTTGAATGTCAAAAAGTTTTGACAAAAAAACCAAAGCCATATAAGATTAATCTATTGTTAGAGTTAGCATTACAAGATTGATCTTGAGTGCATACGGTAGTTCAGTGGAAATTTGAACATTCTAAAGACGCAGAAGCCAGATTCCATATATTGGAATTACGATACATTGGACATTAACTAATTTTAAGATAAGACAGGCATTACTTACGATGGAAAAGTTTAAATATCCACATTATGGAGACAACATTGAAGATTGTTTACAACAAGAATTTAACAAATGGAATATTACGAATAAGCTTTTGAGTGGTACAACAGATAATGATTCAGCAATGGTAAAAGCAATGCGCCAGTTACAAGTAATACATATACGTTGTATTGCTCATACAATGCAATTAGCTATTAAGGATGAACTTAAGCAAAGCAAAGAATTAATTGAAAAAGCTAAAAATTTAAATAGTTTTATTGCAAATCGGGATAAATATCGGGATTTACTTAAGCAAACATATCAAGAAATTAATTTTCAATCAAACGAGCTTTCAGTATACAATCCTATTACAACTGATACTGATACACGATGGAATAGTACATTTTTTTTACTTGAAAGATTAATTTATTTCAAAATGATATTACCTATTTTTGTTGAAAAATTAAAAACAGATTCAAACCGAGCAATTCGAAATGATGGTGAACTCTTGGAACAAAAATTACTTACTAATTCAGATTGGCAAGCACTCGAAGAATTAATAATTATATTACGTCCATTTGTTGATGCTACAAATTTAATGTCAGGAAGTACATATTCAACATTATCACTTTGGTATCCTACTTTTTTTTGTTTAAAAGAGCATTTAGAAAAAACAAAAAAAACAATAATGAACATTAACATTTTTACTACATGTTCTAATATTTTGGATTCTATGATTAAAAGATGGGAAATTCCAGATGAATTAGCATATTTTTCTAGTTTTTTAGATCCACGATTTAAAACTTTATTTTTTTTAGATTCAAAAAAAATTGAAGAAATACAAAATAATTTAAAAAAAAAAATTCAAGAATCGATTAATAATAATTTATCAAATAATATAATTTTTTCTTCT